GGGGAGCTAGGAAAGGGAAAGGGGGTGCTAGGAAAGGGGAAAGGGGGAGCTAGGAAAGGGGAAAGGGGAGCTAGGAAAGGGAAAGGGGGTGCTAGGAAAGGGGAAAGGGGGAGCTAGGAAAGGGGAAAGGGGGAGCTAGGAAAGGGGAAAGGGGGAGATAGGAAAGGGGAAAGGGGGAGCTAGGAGAGGAGAAGAGGAATCTTCTCTCCCCAACCTGCACCCAATCCTCGATAAGGATAAGAACTAAAAGTTGATGATTTGGCATAAAAAATCAATTATCATGAATGATGAGCATGGGAGATAACTAAATCCAGCTGCCGGTACCGATCACTTTAACACCATTGAATATCACTTCTAAAACGTAGTCAGCAGGAAGGCTCACCCGCGTTCGCTTCGTTACCGAAGTTATTTCTCAAGATTTCTGACAGAAAAACTCGAAAATAGAAATTCAGACTCGTGTACGTCAACCTTGAAATTTAGTGCGAGACTGGTTTCATCTGCTAACATCATATCATATATCATATCGTATTCAACATCACCAAGTTTTGAGAGAATCGGAAAGAACGTACGCAATGATATATTTTTCTGCAAATTTCATGAACTGATACTGCTGCTGCTCCCCCCCATGCCCGCAGACGGTGCTTGGAATGAGTGATGATTTGCTACCCAAGCGACTCCAGAAGGCACCACGCGTAGCAATTCCTTCCCAATCTTCTCGCAATTCTGCGATTAGCTTACGGACCTTTCACTTGTGCGTCAAAGCAAAACTTGGATTATTTTCCTCAGTCAACTTACAATTTTATATTTCTATCTTCTCCTCTCCCCGGAATTTTTGGCATTCTGACCGGTTTTTTGGCTGGTTTGACTGTCATGACTCGTTCATTTTCATTTTCCTCTGGTCTAGAAGGAAGATATGAAGAATTTATAGTGAAGTTCAAAGATTTTAGCTCAGTCGTGGATACATAAAGACGACTAGTGTTTATTTTGTCACGACACGTACACCGCTCGTGACGAATCTAAACAAAGAATTTTTGACTTATTTCTTCATGCATAAAAACATTCTTCGGACATTTGTTTAGCAGACAATTTGTGACATATTGACTTTTTTTCATTGTAGACGATTGTTTAGTTACATGAGTGTTGAAATGATTTTGCTTTACTTTGTTCGACGATTACACTGTAAGAGTATGAAAAACTTCCTCAACCAATCAGTTGCTAAGCTAACATCAAGGGCGTTGTCTAGTTCCATGAGAAGTTTGTTCGTTCCTTCTTTGAGTTCTTATTGGCTCCTTTTCAGTCCTCTTTCTCCTGATTGGTCGGTCATTGTGATTACTTAGGTTTATATATTTCAAGCTACAGGCCTCCCTTTTCCTTCGCCTATTCCTCTCCAGATCATTCATTCCTCCAATTACACAACATGCTATTTCCCTACCTGGTGGATGACGTTAACATGGCGGGAAACAAGCCGTCGGACTCGTATTGATGAAACTGATTGGGTCTTGTTTGGACTTGGTCCCAGACACGCGCAACTCTTTGCCATATTTCAGGCCTGGGCTCGTATCTAACAGCTCGATATCTCACTAGATCCTCATTTTCCTCGTGTCTAGGCAAAGTGACTTCTTCGTTTATACGCGCTGGAAGTTTCTCGTCATCAACAAAGGCTCTATCACTCTTGCGAATGGCAAGATGAACAATTAAACGAATCATAACTGTTAGACTTCGTAAGTGGCAGATTCAGCCTTAATAAGATGATTTGAAGCTTTTTGAGAGGAAATCAGGCCAGTCATGAAATTTGGAGAACACTTCCGGTTCCACCTAATCATTACTAAGTAGATATAATAAAGGTACTTGTTAGTCTCACGACGTTAACTGTCGATTTTTGACACGTTTCCGCACTTATAAGTGATCGAGAGTATTGGTACTACTCTTCAGTTTATAACAGTTTATAAATGATGCTCATAGTCGGAAGTGTGAAGGAGCTATGCAAACAATTAATTTGAACCCCCTGCCATTCTCCATTGATTCTCAGACTACCCCACTCCTCCCCTTCCATTCCTTGGATTACAATTCTTCAAAGCTCAACTCACCCTTTCATTTAAAACCTGTAGCTCCTTCCCACTTTTGCTCTTTATCTTTACTTGCGGAAGCGTCTCGCCTGACTCCTTCGTAGAGAATTCATTCCTTTTTTTCTCTTTTAATCCCCTGATGTTTCCT